TAGGGAAACAAGCTTCTATATTTAAATTATGCATTCAACAACCAATAAATTAACGAACAATATCACATCTTATCATTTTCAGAGCAAACCCATAAAATAAACAAAAAAAGTAATCTTGTCTCTTATCATTCATTTGAACCAACTTATATTTGAATAAAAAATAATTTTATTTCTAGAGAATTTACCAGTTAAAAATTCATTTTGAATTTTTATTTTATTCTCTTATAATAGCATAACTCGAAATTTTTGAAAATGTATAAAAAACATAAAATATAAAAAAATAAAAACAAAGGGGGCAGCAAACGGGGCAAAAAAGTTGTCCTGCCCCGCCCTGTCTAAGGCAGGGTTTGGGCGAGGCAAGGCAAGTGGGGCAGCCCTACCCTATTGCCATCGCTAATTTTCTCCTCTGATCATCAATCACCACCACCATGATGTTAACATAAATAATTAAGAAAATTATATTTCTGTAATTATAGCTGATTTGTAGGGATTTATATCTTCCAATTATAGAAGCCAATTGTACATATATATGTATGACAAAATAACGAGAAGCAGCAAGGATTTTGTCAAGAAAATTACAAACTCTCTCTCACTCTCTCGACTTTTTGACAAATGAGGCCTTGCTCTTCTTCTCTCTCTAATAACGGTGCCTTCTCTTTTTTGTGTCGATCAAAACCTTTGTCATCGTGAGCATTGCCGCAGTGAGCAACATTCATAGCCCCACCTTCTATCTCTCATCTTTTTCACTTTTTCTCTCATGCTCCATTTGGACGGAGAGCTCTTGTAGCCCTCGGTCGTGTACAACGACACATGTATTTAATGACAAATGGGGGAAATTGCAACTATTTTTTTAGGTTATTTGGGAGCTGAAAAGGAGTGGGGATGGATAGATTGGAAAGTAGAAATAGAGACGAGGGGTGTTTTAGTAGTTAAAAAAGGTTGTTGAGTGGATGGTGAAGAAAGCAAAGCGTACATAGCAGCACTGTTTGTTTTCTATGTTTTAATCTACATCATTGTGTTGGTGTTAGTGTTAGTGTTAGTGTTAGTGATAGTGGTGGTGGTGATGGTGGGTTTGGGGATTTTTTGGTGGGGGTGGTGATGGAGATGGAGGATATGGTGGTTGTGATTGTTAGTATAGGCCGTGGTGATGGTGGTGGTGGTAAGGTGATGCTAGCTATGGTGGTACAGGTAGGGTTGTGGTGATGTGTTTAACGGTTAGGTTTGGGTTGTATAAAGAGGGTTTGTGACCAATTTTTAGGTGATTGTGACCAATAAATTGAGTTAATTTGTGACCAATAAATTAGATAATTTGTGGCCAAAATAGTATGTGATCTTAAAAAATATGAGATTGCAATTAAATTTGTAATCGAACTCACAATTTGTTCACAAGTCACATATCATTATATATAGGTCACAAATCAATGTCCATAAGTCATAAATCAAGTGGAAAAGTCACAGATCACTAATTTTGTTCATAGGTTAAATTCATATTGTCACAAATCAATGTCAACAAGTCAGAGATCAAAAGTAACTGATAAGAGATTAGATGTCACATATCTTTGTGCAACTGATAACAGTACACAAATTTAAGCTCAAATTACAGTTCATACGTTATAGATCACATGTAACAATAGTTCATAGGTCACATATCATATTACATAGATAACATATCAATGCCCACAAATCACGGATCCAAAAAAGTGGCCACATGCCATTAGATTAATATCGCAAGTAATAGTTTACATGTCACATGTCATAGTGCATAGGTCATAGATATATATCAATAGGTCACATATCATAGAGAACTAGACACGGGCCATTGGATCTATATCATAGATAACAATGGATCTTTTCAATGACTATCATAGCAATTCACAATTTACAGACCAATTGATCTTTCAATGTCACAGTTTACAAGCCAATGGAATTTTCGTCACCATAACTCACGATTGGAGCTTTAACACCGTTTCGTCAATTCTAAAATAGGAAGATTTAGAAACAATACAATGTTATCCGCCACCAATTCTGACTTTGAAACAATTCAAACTTATTTTCGGAATGATCACCAAGTTGAACTCGTTACTTCTATTATCACCTCAATTTGTGACCATTGCCATCAAAAAATATGCTCTGCGGTGTCAATAATTTCCAAGTTGTGAACTCAATAATTCAATGATTTTCAATGATCTAGATTTCATCGGTGGGAATCGAGATTATTTAACAATAAAATGTTATCTACCACCAATTGTGACTTCGAAACAATTCAGACCTACTTCGGGATGATCACCAAGCTCAGTTCGCTACTTTTACTATCACCCCAATTTTGTGACCCTTGCCGTCAAAAAATATACTCTTCAGTGTCTATAATTTCCAAGTTGTGAACTAAATAATTTAGCAAATTTCAATGAGCTCAATACAATGTTATTTGCCACCATGTGATTTCAAAACAGTTCGTGTCTATTTCGGGATAATCACCAAGCTCATTTCGCTACTTCTATTATCACCTCAATTTGTGACCCTTGCCATCGAAAAATATGCTTTATAGTGTTGATAATTTTCAAGTTGTGAACTCAATAGTTCGACGATCTTCAATGAACTAGATTTTAATGGTGGGAATTGAGATTATTTGCTCCAAAGAATTCTCTATAGCCTTTTTTTTTTCTTTTTTCTCACAATTTGTTAAATTAGAGTCATATTTGAAATGGAAATATGTGTAACTAAATGCTTGATTTTAGAATTAATATTTATTGGGCATATTCGGTAGTGATTATGAAAATTGATTTTTTGGTCGTTAAAAATAAAAGTGAGTCCCACCTGTGAGTGAAGAATTAAAAAATCACAACTTGAATAGTGAAATAAAGATTAAGAAAATCAATTTTTTTGGGTGAAAATTGCTACCAAATGGAGGCATTATAATCTAATTTGTATATATAGTATGCCCTTGTTTGAGTCCCATTTTTAGCAAAAAAATCTATTTTTGAACAGTATATTGATGGAAAATATATTATTAAAAAATAAGAAAAAAATTAAATTTGCATATAATATAATAATTGAACAATATACAGTTGAAATAGGATCCAAATACTATTCAAGAATGCATTTAAAAAATGGAGCTCAAACAAGAGTATATAATATATATTATTATATTATATATTTATCACTTGACATTTGAATGTTTAAAGCTTGTTGTATTAAAATTGAAATTGTATATAATAAACATATGATATATGTATTTAGGTCTGAGCATCGTTTAGGTTGGATTAGTTTTGAGTCCAATCCTAAATCGGAACTGACTTGATCGATTTGGATAAATTCCAACTCAAATCAATTCAATTTAGTCGTTGAAATCAAACAAAACCTCGATTTGATTTGATTAATTGATTTGAACATTGGTATGAACTTTAAAAAAAAAAAAAAATATATATATATATATATATATATATATATAAATTGCCTA